AGATGGATAGACTGAGAAAAAAGTGTTTGGCAACTGAAATCGCGCACAGTGAAAGAATTGTATAATCAGGAGAACCGTTTTTATAGTAAGCGTTATATGTATATCGCTTATAATTGCATTCTAAAATATAGCGTAACCCAACCACGCAGATGTTGGACTTCAAACACGGCTTGAAAAATCAGTAAAGAACGAGTAGAGAGGAGAGGATAGGGAGAGGCGGGGAGAGGGATGATCCGTCCGTTTGTCTGATATTCCGACGCCGGCGAGACGTTTCCTCTCATTCGGCGTAAGAGAACGGCGCGTCTCGTCAAAGTGCATAAATTCGCGTGATTGCCCGGGCCGCGTCGATGTAACGGTCTTCCGCGCGCGCATTCGCCGATTTTATTTACGAATGCTCTTTCCTCCCGAATCCGCTTCAATTTCGCCGGCGCGCTACGTGTTTGGCCGAACCAAGGCGCATTACCTATTCAGCGTAATGCATAAAACTCCATGGCCGGCTAATGGAACGAAATGGAATGTGTACGCGCTGTCATAATTATTCTAGGAGCCTCCCCTAATACAGCTCGAGCGGGCGGACGGGCTTGAGCGAGCGAGCGAGCAAGCAAGCGCGCTACCATCTCGTTTTTCGCGAGCCGCATCTGCAGCTCGATAACGCCCTGCCGATAAATTACATTTATCCGCGAAATTCCACATCCTCCGACTCGGGCATTTATTATCCTCCCTCCCCCGCTTCCCCGCACTCCGTCCCTCGAAGCGCTCTCCCGCGCTTCTTAATACCAAATTACGCACGAAATAGTCGAAAAATGTCGGTCGCGCGGATGTGCTCGCCGACGGATACCGTCAGGTTTCAGCGTCGAGACAATTCTCTTCCACCCCCCCCCTCCCCCCGACATACTTCGTCGTTTCACATAATTACCCGCGTTTTCCGGAGTACTTGCGATTCGCGTCGGGCGTATTTCTTTTTTCACTTCTTCCGAAACGACGCAGCGCGACGTAACGATGATGTAATCTCCGTCGCACCTGGAGAACCGATCTCTCTCTTTCAGCGCACTTTAAAACAGGATTTACCTCCGCATCGAGAGCGTTGCGCTTCGTTCTACATATTACATCCGATAAGCCGAGCGATTCCGCCCGTTCCGTCTGACCCCTCGCCACCGCGCCCACGTGCTGTGCACGCACTGCTGGGATATGCACACGCGTATCGCTATCTCACTCTCTATCTCTCTCTCTCTTTTTCCTTCTCGCTCGTATCCTACCAGACTTTCGGCAACAGCAGCAGCGGCAGCGTAGCACGGAGCGACCGTGCAAACGAGTTTTATGGCGAGCTATCTTCATGCACCACCTACACGACGCGCAAGGTGTATGTCGATACTACCTGGGCTGCCGTTACCACCGGGTTCCGCGTCTACCCGCCGCGCGTATCGCTCCCCGCCGCCATTGTCGCGAGATAAACCTCTGGAAATTGGATTTACATGACGCGGATTAGGATAACCGAATCCGATAGGCCGACTGCCTGTCTACCGCGTCATTGGAAATGCATTCCCGGCGCCCTTGCGCGACGGCGTGTGCAAAATACGAGACGAGAACGAGAAGACGCTCTCTCTCTCTCTCTCTCTCTCTGTGCGTGAGTGCGTGAGTGGTTGCGTATATGTGCGCGTATGTCGGGAAGGAATCCGCGACAGCGCTTTATTATCTCGCGTTCCCCCGTGTTCGCGCAGCAACGACGCCGTCGGTTTCCGTTGTCAGGCGAGTCGGCGGTCTCGGCGCCGTGGAAGCGATTAGGAACGGGTTAGGAGGGAAAGACTTCGCGGGAAAATCTGTCTTTGAACTCCGTCGGAGTCACGGTAATGCGAAACTTCCTCGATACGCGCGGCCTTGCCACCCGCGAGAGATTTCTTTTCTTTTCTTTTCTTCCAAAAGACACGTTTAACTCTCTCTCTCTAAATTTCCCGGAGTAAAATCTCGTTCGAAACAAGTGGAAATTCAGTTGAAAAGACGGCGAAGATAGTACCGTTATTTGGAGTAACAAAAGTAAACGTTTCACTTAAATTAAAAAATTCTTAAGGTAAGGTCGGCTTGTAAATTAATTTTCGTAGGAATTTTTTCAAGTTTTAGGCGGAGTATGCACATTAGATCCGCCCTTCAATTCCGAATGAAAATATTCACCCGGCGATTCCGAGTGGAGAACTCACTCTGTATGAATGAAAAGTCACTCGAATCTGAGCGACTCGGTTGTCGCACGGCTTTTCAAGTGGGATTTCGCTCGCAAAAGAATTTCAAGAGTACCCCGGACTCATTCCTCAATTTCGAGTGAAAAATATTCACTCGACGGTTCAGCGTGGGGAATTCACTCCGTGTAACTCTTAATAAAAAATCACCCAGGTTTCGGTGGCTCGGCTGTCGCTGGACCGTTCGAGTGGGATTTCACACTCGAAGAAATTTCGAGAGCAGTTCCTGAAGAAATAAGTGTACGCCCGAGGATATCCGTCGCCGGGGGTCTCCGTCGGCGGGGAGATTCTTTTTTTTACAGGTGGCCGTATCTTTATTATTAAATACATTCGGGTAAATCAAGTACCAAGAGAAACTTACTTTATCGCTCGGTGAACTCGCCCGATGGACGGGGGTAACTCGGTAACTTTTAGAGAGCCGTCGCTTTACAAGCTCTTACGTGCGGTTCCGCGCCGCTATATACCCTGACAATCAACTTTACGCGATATGATATTCCCCGCTCCAATTCCGGCGAAATACGGCACACACAGAATTCCTCGACAAATTACTCGGTTCCGCCAGTCCGCCGCCACCACCGTCGTCGTCGTCGGACTCGGCGCGTACCCACCTAGCTAGCTAAGATGGAAGGCATCCACGAGCGTGCTCGCGCGCGGCAACGGAGAGTCCGACGTCCACTTAAGAACCCCCCACGGAATTATTCAACATTAATCGAAACTTACGGAATTCCAGATTATCCGCCGGCGTCGCGCGCGCACCGTCGTCGTCGGAATATTCGGAATTTCAAATGGCCCGTGACTTATACGAATATTCAACAGGCACTTCGCACACTCGGCGCGCCGTTTGTACACGAGACCGTTTCGGGCAATCGTCTCCGCCGTTGCGCTTTCCCCGCGCAACGACGTTTTCGCAAGATGAAAACTCGATTACGTCCGCGCGTCACACGCTGTCTTCGCGGATTCTCGTCGCCCTTCCGCGTGGGAAGAAACGGATCGATACGAGGCTCTACGTCCTTCCACCCATCCATCCTACCTTTCCTCCTTCCTTCCTTCCTTCCTTCCTTCCCTCCTTGCTCGCTCTCCTGTCTCCGCGACGTCCGGCGAACTTCGACTCACGTGTCAACGCGGTGCGCGTAATATATTTTTACGTCGACTGTTTTATAAAGAGGAAAAAAAGGGGAGGGGGCGGAAGGGGGGGAGTAAGAACGGATCGTAAAGCTGAGATCGACGTCGAACGGCATGGGGAACGTGTATATATATATATATATATATATATGTGTGTGTTACATAGATGCAATCTCGATACACTTCCACCAACAAAAAGCGACCTCACGGATAATACCGCGCGGATAATAGTTGATTTATGGTCAGATCATATACTCCATCGAACTTTAGGGACACATTAAACTTTTATAACGTCCTCAAAGGCACCGGGCGGCTTCTCGCGAAAGAGAAAGAGAGAAGGGGGGGGGGGAGAGGAGAGCGTGATCCGCCCCCACTTTGTCGGTAAATCTTCTTCGAGCGGTGAGGTTTTCGAGTCGACTCTATCCATCAACGTCCCGCACCCACGCGGGTATCCATTTTACCTAATATCCACCGGCGTAATCCGTTTTATTCCATATCAGCCCGAGTTACTCGCTTAACCGTAGCAGAAATCATTTTTCCCCCTCGCTCCGGCCCGCCGCCCGTTGTCGTTCGCAGTTAATCACGCAAATTCGGCGATCGATGTCGCGATCGATTCTCCAGTAGGAAGCGGAGGAGGAGGCGCGATTTCCTCCAGCGCAATCCCCATCGACCCCAATTTCGCCGAGGCGCCACACACAGCTCTCTCGCAAGGGCTTGCATTCCGTGACGACGAAATTCCTTTCCTGTCAGGTCGTCGTCCGTGAATTTACGAGCGCGAAAGTAGTCAGCCCTGAAAAATGCTATCCGCGGTCAAAAATTTACGGGCGCGCGATGCGGTTGTTCAGCAGGTGAAAAAGTAGCTCGGAGAGGCGGAATAGGAATTTCGCTGTTGCGAAATATGTACTGTGTTTCCTCTTTCATGCCGACGAGGCACTCATGCGAGTAATACGTACGATAAATTTCGCCGGGCCCGCGCGCTTATTCATTGCGTAATTCGTACTATTATCCCGTTCGTCTTAGAGCTTAATAAATATCGCGACCCCGGCTTCATTGCGGCGACCCCCCGCCGGTCGCGCGTAATTACTTTCGCCTAATTACTTTTACTTGTTCGTACATCTATTCATGCGACTTTTTGGTGTGTGCTTTCGACACTTTTTCGAGTGGAATCCCACTTGAGAAGTAACGCGACAGCCCAGTCACTCGAGTTCGAGTGAATTTTTATTCCTGTTCAGAGTGAATTCCCTGAATTCTCCGAATCGTCGAGTGAATATTTCCATTATCATCCAAGTTCTCAGTATCGAGATTGAAGAGTTAATCTTCGATGTACACTCCGCGCAGTCGTGTATAATTTAATCGATTTAAGCATGCGCTCATATGAATTGGGAATCCACTTTAAGAGCGACGTTCATCTAATTTCGATTAAATTAGTCGATCTGACTGATAGCGAGTTGAAATATGAATATTTTCCTTTACCTTGTAAATTTCAGTGAAATATTCGCTCGTACGATTTCGAGTGCCAGTATTTTTATCGTTGCTCCGAGTGTATTTTCATTAATTTCCAGCGAGATTTCACTCCAAGAAATATGGAGAGCGCATGTATCGACCGAATCCTACTCAAGGTCCTCAACTGTTCCAACTCGGGTGTTACAGGTGTTCTCTCAGATCGATATCCTCTTCAGCATCGGCGGCAAGTATTACACGGGCAAGCCCATTACCTTCACATACATGGAGGACAAAATCTTCGAGTCCTCACGGAATGTCACGATCAAGCTCCATCACCGAGTCGGAAAATTCGTCAAGCTGCGACTGCACTTTTCGGATCGGTGGATCATGGTCAGCGAGGTGACCTTCGATTCCGGTGAGTCTTGTTTATTCTCTGTATATTTATATCTCGTGGTAAACAAGCGATATATGTTATCAACGTATCTCCATCAGATACACAGAAAAAAGAGAGAGAGAGAGAGAGAGGGAGAGAACAGAAAAGGTGAAATGCGTCTCTCTTTCGCGTTGAAAATCGTCTGTTAGTCTTTTATATAAACGGGAAAATTGTTCTCTTTCTCTCTCGAGTAACCATTAAGCTCTCGTCTCGCTTATCTCGACGCAGGAAATGATAACTCCTAATGGAACCCTTTAAAATGTAGGGAGCACGACGAGACGTATATCAAACTTAGAAAACTATGCGTCGCCCTTTTACGCGCCGCGCCGCAAGAGAAACACGAGGTCGTACGCGCACGGAAGCGTAATACATATGTCTTCCCTAAGAAATTTATGAAACTTTATCGCGCAGTCGACTCACGTGGGCGCGCCACAGAGTGAGCGCGATACAAGCGTGGTTGAAATTAAACAATCTGGAGTTCCCGTAATCGCGATCCGTCCGTAACGCAAACTAGGCCAATAGAAATTTATTTCGTCCAATCGGGAGAAAGAGAGAGAGAGAGAGAGAGGGAGAGCGCGGGAGAAACGACGCGCTAGGCTAAAAGAGACGGCGCGATCCGTCATTTAATTTCACTGAATCCATCATTTCTACCGCGTCCATCTACCCCCGTGACAGCTTCCAGCGGGACGTGCCCGGCCCGAAATTCTGGAATACATTAAAAACCTTCGAACGAGGATATATTTCCGCGCTGATCCACGCCACAACGGACGAAAACAATGGTCCCGGGGATGTGGGGGCGGCAAGAGGACGAGGGAAAAAAGAGCCGTGGGACGTCGCATCACGACGGAAGTAGGGACGAAAATTTCTGTTCGTGACGCGAAATCGTTTCGCGGTACAAACCTTCCCACCGCGCGGAGAGACGGCAAGCGAGAGGAGCGAGAGAGAGATAGAGAGAGAAAAAGAGAGAGAGAGAGAGAGGGAAAGAGAAAGAAAGACAGATATACGAGAGGACGGAGTAGAGCGAGAGGGGGCTGTCAGCCGATGCGGAGAATGTATTTCTTTTTGTAATTCCGCCATTTCACTCCAATTCGGCGCAACCAAACCGCACCGCGGCAACCGCTACCACCCTCCTTCCCGCTCGCTCCCTCCCTCACCGTCTTTGCTCCCCCTTTCCCACGGACGATCGCCGCCTGTCAATCATCGAAAAAATAAATCTCGAGCTTGATTCTGAGTGATACGCGCGCGGTAATTGACAATGGCTTATCGTATATCTGCCAAGCAGCGATTTTGGGGACGACGGATGCCGGACGCGACTAAGCGAGACCCGGCGAGGACGGGCGCGAGAAGCCGAAGAGGCATGCAAATAATCTATAACGCGTCTCCTTATGCCGCGTTTCCCCTCTTTCTTTCTCCGTCTATCCATCTATCCGTCCGCCCGACTCTCGCTCTCTTCCTCCCACCGATTTTGCGACGTCGCGCGCACGGAAGACTCGATTCGATTTGGTGTTCACTCGACAGAAATCGACTTCCCCGCCGTTCACGGGCGGGAAGACGCGGCGCGACGCCACGTGTTAGACAGAGGGAGGCGCTTTATCAGCGGAAATATAAAATCGCGGGCCGCGTCTCCATATCGAGAGAGGCAGAGCGAGCGAGAGAACGCGGTGCGATTCTCGAAAAGCGACGACACTCCCTCCTCCCCTTGTACCCCCGCCGCCTCGGCGGTTCCCAGCGTTCCGTCTGATTTAACGCGGATTCGATGGAAATCGCATCTTACGAGGAGTTTACCCGCGTTTACAGTTTACGGCGGCGCGACTGCCGAATAAAAGAGGATTTATAATCAGGAGACCGGACGACGCCGGCGATACACGCCGCGCGAGCGTGAATACCGCCCGCCGAATTCATAACTCGCCACAGCAACTGTATATTTTGTTAAATGGACTAAACTTTGTTTGATAAAATTGCGTTCGTTTAAACAAAATCTCGTTGATCTTACCACTTTTTTTCTTCTCAGTGTAGAATGATTTGTACTAGTTTCTCGACTGTATGCGTGTGTATAGCTAAGCTCGAAATCGTGCAACTTTCGATCTATAAAGGGAATAATGAGGGAATAGTGAAGAATATATGACGCGGTATGTACGTGGGAAAGACAATCGTGCGATTTTATCGCGATTAAATATTTATTCGTATGCGCGCGTCCACACGAAACAATAATGCATGAAAATCACTCTGTATTATATATCAGTACGAGTCGCGCGGTAATATTTCATATGGCTGAATCCGGAGTTGAGGCTGAGTTGTGAGAGAGAAAAGAAGGGGGGAGAGGGAGGGAGATAGAGAGACGGGGAGAAAATATCACGACGGAATCTGCGGACGGCCCGTTGTTTTTCCAAATCATCAGAAATTAAACAGCCGCTTCTCCCCTCCGGGATTTTCATCCACGAAATTTCGCCGTGCGCGCGCGCACATAATATCATCGTGCAAATTTAACGGCTAGTCTTCACGCGTTATTGATCTCGCGCTCGAAATTAAGGTCGCCGATTCTGGGACATCTCGCGTAATGGAGGGCGAAATGGGGTGAGGTGGAAGGGAGCGAGCGAACGATCGAGAGAACCGCGAGTATGAATATTTCCAGAACGCTAAAACAAGCGGAATCAGGTCGCGGGGATCTTTCGCCGTCTTGATTGTAGCAGCGACCGTGCGCAGCACCGTGCCACTGCTGACTCGATTTACGGTATCGTTTATGTTTATCTAGAGACGTCGAAGGAACAAATCCCCTGACAATTGGGCCAGCGAACAATTACGCTCGCGAAACTGCAAAATCGCGCAAAGTTACCTCCGCCTTCGGAGCGTCCCCGTGCGAATTTTCGAGCAAGCGTCGCTCCGTCACCGTCGCGCGTTAAGACGCTCTTCCGCGAAAACGTAACGACGAGGAGCCTTCCGTTTCACCCGGGCGAACGCGAGTCGGCAAACGAGCGTGACTAAGCGAATTCGTAAGATCCGCCGATTAATGCCGCGCGAGTAACACATCCGCTTACCTCGACGGAAGACCGGACGTCCGCTGTCACCGTCATTTTCGCCGAAAACGCGCGTTCTCCTCCGACAATACAGTTTCCTGTTTCTATGGAAAATAAAACAAAAAAAAAGAATCGTTTATATTCCAACGAAAACCGCGGCCGCGTCTCGCGTATCACTATAAAATATATCAAAATATATGTCCTCGCTCTCTTTTTTCTCCCCCCCCCCCCCTCGAAGCTATCAGATTGATCAAACAGTTCGTTCGCTGTTTTAATAATGTAACAGCCGCGCACGAAAAAAACAAACGGATTTTTTAATCAATCTGACACACAAGGGAGTGTTGCGAGAACAAAGGAACAAATGGAAAATCGCCGACATCCACGAGCATAACCGTAGCCGCGCGTTAAATGTAATAAACGCGGGACGCACGAGGACGAGCAGGACGATGACGAGCCGCGGAGGAGGATCCTCCTCAAAGTGCTTTAATGCCGCTCGCGCGCATCTCGTGAATCCGATTCATAAAAAATTACACGGTAATCCGAATCGGGGTCGCGCAGTGCGAATGTCAGCCACGCGATACGCAGCGAAAGCGTGGAAACGCCAGTCACGAGATCGCGATTATCCTTTATCTTTTATTTAGCCTATTCGAACCCGGTGACTGTTATTGGAAGATGATAGCCAGAAGTCGGAATTTTCTCGAACTTTTCTCCTTCGAATTTTGTTCAACTTCCAATTGGAATTCGCTACCTTCGGCCACTAAAAAGAACTCATTATCTTTCAAATTAGCCATTTCCATTCATTGTCTTCATTGAATCGTTCTTCATTTACAGAATACTGGTAATTAATTGTCCATCCTCATCTCACTGTACGCTTTAGATGTCTATTATCTTTACTATCTTTGTAATCTGTACTTTTTATCCTAAGTTTATTTACTTTTAGCTTTTTTCTTCTCTTTTCTTCGTTCTCCAGCGGCGATTGTCCGCACACAGTAAAAAATGTTATGTTGAAAACGGTCCACTGAAATTTTATGTTACTTTAACAAAGTGAATATATTAAAAAGTAACATGTTAACAAGGTGAATATGTTAATTTAACGTTTTATTTGCGCACCTTTCAACATATTCCCCGTATTAAAGTAACAAGGAAATTTCAGTCGGCTTTAATTTCAGTAATTTTTACACAAAATTTTTTACTGTGTATATTTATGTCATATCGCTGCTCTTCCAGGAATTATTCTAGAGCATAATAAAGCAGACTCTTTTCTGACTCCATAAAAAACCAATATAAATTTTAATGTTTGCTCTTTCCTCTCGTACGATTTCATCATCTCTCCAGCTTCTTGAATATTGACTGACAATTCGCCGATAATGACTGATAAAATCGCTTGTACTAGTCACATATTCTACTCTGTAAATACTTTGTACTTATTACTTATTTTTCTTTTCCTTTTTTCTAAAAAGAAAAAAAAATAATAAAATTACTGTTACTATTATCATACCAATTTCTTTACAAGATGCACATGATGCTCCATCAGTTGTATCGATAGTGTAGGACGCACATGGTGCGCGTCGGTGTTTCGAGTAGGTTAAAGTCACCCTTCGCACATCTCCCCTACTTCGTGTCGGGAAAAAGCGGGAAGCCGCGCATGGAAACGGGAAGCTCTTTCTCTCGGAAGCAGGTGGGCGAGAGTCGTCGAACGACCGTGGCGCGATGCGGAACCCTCGATAAATTCGATACACGGGATATGCGTGGTCCGCGAAATCCGAGAGAGAAAGAAAAAGACGGGGAGAGAGAGAGAGAGAGAGAGATGCCGCGCTTCTTGCGTTGCTTTTATGAAGATTCGCGGCGTGAGCTCGCTTTATTCGCGCATGAGCGCGTACGCGACCTTAGAAAAGTTTCACGTTAATTGTACCGCGCGATTTTCCACGCGACGCGAGCAAGCGAGTCTCATCCCGAACCGTTTTAAAT